ATGAACCGCAATATGAACAGCTAAGAACAACATACTTCCATTCTCTGCCCAAGCATGTCTAACGTGGGAAGATATTTTAATGGAGAACCCAACTGACATGTTAGCTTTGAAAATGGCTCACGACTCCTACTTCTATCTTGGATACCAACCTCAGATTAGAGATTCAATCGCAAGGGTGATGCCGAAATGGAAGGAAGACATGCCACTCTATGGGTAGATGGCTCAGCACTAACTGTTCTAAGTTCTTTAAGTATTCAATCAGTGTTTAGTCAGTCTTGTTTGGTGGATCCTGCCTTTCTCTCCGAAGTAAGAGGCTAGGCAATCAGAGAACTTGATCTCACAAACAGCCTTGTTTGTGTCTAAGTAAGAAAGTTGTTGAGTTAAACTTTAATTAAATACTGTTTTTGATAACTGTAATGACTCCATTTAGAGCCCAGGGCGCTTATCTACTTACTGTACTTCAAGGGTGGGTGCTTCTTAAAAACAGGGCGCTCATTTAATAAAAAGAAAAAAACAGCTAATAATGAGTTGAGTGTTAATCTGACAGTTGTTAATTTTTGAGGAAACACGAAAATACCTTTCTATCAACGGCAGATATCTTCACGGAATGTACGCGTTTGGCCTGATAGAAACGGGATTTTACAGAGAGGCGGAGAAGCATGCATTAAAGGTTGGCTTTAAGACTTTGTTGATAGCGATTTTGTGATAATTAACTTCTTCAACAATTTAGAAAGAGATGAGGTTACCTTCATTCTGAATCGTGGCTGAGTAGCAGGCTTACAGTCTACAATTCCTTGTTGGACTTTACATAATACATCAATGATGTGGTTGTGTTCACTGCCTGAAGAGGCAGACCTCACCATTTTGCAGTCAAAACGTAGCGATTATCACATCGGAAGTGGTTACATCCTAAAACAAACAGTAGTATTTCGATGGTAGTGTTTTATTTGTTTCTTTTTAATTTTTTTTCTCGCGCTAATTTTATCTTGCGAAGGGTCTTGAATTGAATCCAAGAGATTGCTGGAGCACTCATGCAGAGGCCCATGTCATAGAAATGGAAGGACGTCAGGATGAAGGAATTAAATTCCTCAGCACGTCCCTGAATGACTGGACTGTCAGGCCCACATACAGTGAATTTTACTTAACGCTAGCACTGCTGTCTTGCGCGTAATATATAAAATTTTCGACTTGTACTTAAGGTAGCACCGTTTTCTTACGCATAATATATAAATTTTCTGCTGTTGCTGCCGTCTAGATCTGGAGATTGAAAATAATTGGAACGGCTGTAATAAGTTAGATTTAGATGCCTTGGGCTCATATACCGAGATAACAGTCAAGTTTTTTTTTTTTTTTTGGGATTTACAGCAGAATGCGCCTAACCGCTGGGTTTTCATAATGTCACGCGTTTTAATAGCCAGTTTAAAGTTATCACAGTAGATACACACACGCACACGCATGCACGCATGCACGCATACACCTCCATACAATAATTCCGCGAGACACGTCCTTCAGTTTGAGCCTCATTAAGATTTTTGGCAATTGTCAGTAAAACCCTGACTTCAGATAACGTTACTACAAAATACTATCAGCAGTTTGTCTCTTTTTTTCGCGTGGTATGCACTACGCCCTCAGTGTTCCAGCACGTGCTGTGAAATACATCGAGCCGTTTCAACAAACTTACTTCTCTCTGCCCTCCGATTCAAGCTTCCCCAGCAACAACAACAAAACGTG